AAAAAAAAAAAAAAAAAAAAAAAAAAACTGTATCACGTCACGCAAAAAACCATAACATACCACGTGCGTCTGTTGGTGGTACATGCGTGGGCGACGAAGGACGAAAACGGCGGCTAGGATTCGGGAAGAAGGACAAGTCCTCGTTTACAGTTCATAGGAGCGAGGAGGTATTGCCGGAGGACACGGCCAGCGGAAGAAGCGGAAGGCAACCGAGTTCCGCAAGCAGCGACGGCGAGGGTAGCGGCGACGGGGACAGGTCCGAACACTATAGCAAAATATATCTGTCCTCCCCTTTTTTTTTCAATTGTTTCCCCCCTCCCCCTCTGATTTCGATTTCATCCCCCATCGATGCCCCCCCTCCCCCCCCTTTTAATCGCGTTATTCACTCGCGCGAACTTTCCCTTGTCACGCGCGCGCGATTTTTTACGAATTCTACGATCCCCCTCCGGTGTATAAATTCATCGAATCCGACGAATATGACTAATGATCAACAGCGCGTTCGAGCCAGGAAGATCGAAGCCAAGCCACGATCGCAGCCTTCGGCGAAACGTGAGTACAAGTACGCGGAGAGACACGAGAGTTGCAAGAAGAACGACGACAATGGACCGTTGATCGGTCTTACTTGATACTTCTACGAGCGACAATGACCGTAAAACACACGCAGCACCATTTGCTCTTTAGACGTGGAAGTTGTGCTTCAGAGGGGGAGGGGGGGAGCGCGACGCCGAGACTGTCCGCGGCTATCGCCGCAAAATGATAGTTTCCTTTTTTTGCTCCGTTGTGTCGTTCGTCGACGTGACGAAGTATTTTCAAAGTGTATTTTCCACGATATTCGAAATAGTCGCGGAACGATTCTCAAGTCGCTGCCTCCCTCCCCCGCCCGCCCCCTCTCCCAAATAGATCGTAGAGAGACTGTTTCTACGTAGTAGCGATACGTAACTCTTAGAGGAACGTTTTTGCACGAGTTTTTCTGAGCTGAGTGTGGAGAACCCATCGAGCGTGTTGGTCGAGTTTCCATCGGGAGAGAAGAGAAAGGTTGTACCCTCAAGAACCTTACGTATTAGCTGCTCGTGTGTCGGGCTGTCTCTCTCTCTCTCTCTCACTCTCTCTATCTCTCTCTCAGCCCGAGAATCGACGCCTGTGTCTATGCGTCGCGGTGTCTAACTGTTTTCGTAGCAGCTTTACAAACTTTTAGACACGAAACACGTGGTCAACTTGTTGCGAGAGTTCACACGACGGTAGGTAAGTTGACCACCTGGTTTCGTTGTCGTTTATTATTTTATTAGAGGCCGCTGTTGACACGTGCTTAGGATGAACTGTTGCCTCATCCATCTACGGCTTTTCGTTTCTTGATGTCTTCTTCGGGAGCTGCAGCAGTGTGTTTCGTGCGCATTATTTTTACATATACGTGCATATATACATATACATACAGACACACACACACATATATATGTATATATACATGTATATACATGTATCTCGATATTCTTCTATTCTTTCGTTTTTTTTGTTTTTTTTTTCTTCCTTCCCTTCTTTTTCGTTACAGAGCAAAACAGGTTCGTTGAATGTAGCACACAAGTCTTGTACATTCTGCCTGCGGACATTTCTTACGTACTTCACGGTGAAAGTTCTATGAAACGCGAGCAAATGCGAAACGTACTCGCTTCCACCGTGCAGGAGGTACGCAGAGAGATACGGACGAGTTTTCGTTGGTTTAAACCAATGATACACTTATGTGTTACACGAACACGACACGCAAATACATCTGTATGATTATACATTTATATATATATATATACAGTTGCAGCGAGTTTTTCGGTAGCAGTACCGTAGATGTGACGTTTTGTTGAAGATATAATACTCCAGAGAAACTAGCTTGTGACGCTTTCAGCGCGCTTTTGATTGCAGGTGCGACCAAACACACAGCCGGCAACGAGTAAGAAAGCTCTCGGAAACGTTCGAATTTTCGTCAGCTGTTAACCACACGTACACACACACACACACACACACACACACATACACACAAACACACAAGCACACACACGTACACACTTTCTCTCTCTCTCTCTCTCTTTCTCTCTCTCTATCGAATTCTTTCTTTCAGACGGCAAGAATTTTAAGCCTCGTCGAGGAACGAGATCTCTCGCAGGCCTTGTGGAATCGTCATCGATACCCATCTGACTTTCAATGCCACGACTCGAAGCGCGCACACAGCCCTTTCCTCGAGGTCTTTCTTTCCACGAGCCTGCGTGTAGTAGTTAACCATTTCCCCTTACTGTCTACCTTCCGATATACCCTTCATCGACATCATTCGCTCTGTCTCAGACAGTTTCATCCCAGGTGTACGTGTGTCCTCTCTCTCGCCACTTTTCCCCGCCCGTGCCCCGATTCTGTCATGAGAGAAGATTCGAATGTGGTGCGCGAAGGAGATGCGTGTGCAGTGAGAATGAACGTGCGAAATGGGGAGAAAGAGAGCCTAGATTCGTCGTGACAAAAAAAA